CCTGCTGGCCCTGGCCTCCCTCCCAACTCCCTCCCCATGGTGACGTGCCCCTTCTGCCTCCACGCAGCTCTGTGACCAGCCTGGGCCACACGCTCGTGGAGTCCGCTCTCACATGGCCTTCCCTGCCCAGCCCTCAAGGGGCCTCGCCCAGGTAAGAACCCGGGTCAGCACGGTCCCCTCCCCATCCTCGAGCGCTCAGCCCATGTTGCCATCCCATGGAAAGGAGGGAAAACCAAGGCCAGGCCAAGTCCATGGCCTCTTTTGAAGTTACATCAGGACATGGAGGGTCAGGGAGGCCCAGTGCCTTGTCCAAGGCGACAGAGCAGGTGGCTTCAGAACTAGGGCCTTGGCCGCTGACTCACGGTCTAGTGTTTCTGCTACCTCAGAGGTCGCGTGAGGAGCCGCCCAGGGCCCAGGGCCCAGCGCCTTCCCCCATCTCTTCTTGTCCACTGAGAATCCGTCTCCAGGGGGAGAATTTCATGTCATATGCGTTCCCATTTTAAGGCACCGATATCCCTCAGCTCTCTGGCCCCAATGAAGCCTTCGGGCTAAAATGGGCCCTTTGTTCTTCCTGCCAGCTCACAGACAAAGGGTGGCTTTGTCCTGCCTCGGAGCCCTGTCCTGAGCCCTGCCCACTGTCCCCTGGAGCCATGCTCCCGCTGTCAGCCCCCCACCCCGACCTCTCAGGCGGATCAGCTCAGGTTCCGGTCGGGGCCTCTGAGTGGGACCAGTCCCACCTTTGACTTGCTGTGTGGCTCCGGGCAAATTCGTCCTCCCCGTGCCTGAGAAACTTCTGGCCTGACATGCGGCAGCACAGGGACCAGGGACCAACGCCAGCCCTGCAGCTGCCATCCCCATCAGCCCGGAGACGAAAGGCACGAGGGTCGTGGGCCAACTCTGAGCTGGTGCCACACTTGTCCTCACAACCAGCTCTGTCTGTCCGAGGTTTTAGTCACGGTAGCAGGAGCAGGGAGATGGACCAGGTGACCCCTCCAGGTCCCTTGCAGGCCTATGTGTCTGTGACCTTTGCACTCCACAGGGATGCGGGAACTGGCGTCCTCCTGGGCTGCCCAGACTGCTCGTTCTCAAGCTTGTTTCTTCCACAAAACACAGACATTTACTGAGCCCGACACCGTGCAGGCCCTGACCTCCTGGAGCCCGCAGCCCCATCTCATCAGTGACAGGACAGGCCTCGTAGGGCGGGAGTGACCCCAGAGAGTGTGTCTATCAGGGCTGGCGTGGGGACTCTGATGGGGAGCCGGGGAGAAGGGCAGAGTGAGGGAGTCACCTTCCTCCTCCTGAGGCTGCTCCCCCCAACACAAGATCACAGAGCTGACTAGAGTGGGGTTTTCCCAACTGCAGTGCACACACAGATCGCCTGGGATCTCCAGGTTAGATGCGGGTTCTGATTCGGCAGCTCTGGGCCAAAGACTGGGGTCCCACATTTTCAACAAGCTGGAAGGCGATGCCCCAGCCGCCGACTCAGAGACCACACTCTGAGCAGCAAGGCCTTAGAGTAGTGCATTTAGGAGTCTGCAGTCCTGAGAGCCCATCTCAACCAGCCCCATCCCTGTGCAGAGGGGAAGAGACCTGCTCAGGACCACGGAGCCATCAGCCTCTGGGCTTGTGTGCCTGTGTCCTTCAGTGCTGGAAGAGCAAGGCCAAGGTCACCAGGGTCTCACAGGGAAAGGTGAGGGCAAAGCAGAGAGCAGCTTGAGACTCGCACATGGGCTCCGGGTACCTGGGGTATCTGGGGTCCAGCCCCCAGCCAGCAGGTGAGGAGCTGGTAGGCAGGCCCAGTGGTCACAAGGGGAGCAGCGACGGGCTGCATCAGGGCTGCAGAAAACAGATGAGTCTCAAAGCCGAGTGTCCAGGTTCCCTGCAGCAGGCCGCACAGGTACTCAGGGCACCCCAGGTCCCCAAAAGCGAACCGCTATAGCAGCCAGGCTAAGGCCAGGCCCCCACAGGGATTGGATGGACAGAGGTGCTGATATGGCTTTAGCCCTGCTGGAGTCTGGCTTTGGAGCCACTCTATGAGGCCTAGAGACTTTGGCAGGAACAGGGTCGGCGGGCTGAGGAGAAGCCAGAGGAGGGCCAGGAGGGACTAGATTGACTTCCTTCTCTCTGGCCATTTCTGAGGACCCCCGAATGTCCTTCCAGTGTCTCCCACCATCACAGGGATAAGTATGTCTTCAGGTAAGTCCTCAAATGACCTCTGATCTCCCACTCTGGTCCCCAGGTTTGTGGACTCCCCAGAACAAAAAGGCTGGCAGGCACAGGTAACAGAGTTCAAGGCTCTGTGGCAGGCCACCAAGGTGGAACGCGACCGGCTCACCGAGTTTGTCACTGTCCTGCAGAAACGGTAACACGTGACGTCCGGGGAAACCCTCCATGGGCCTGCGTGAGCTGGGGGTGGACGCCTGGCACGGGGCATCCCCCTTAGACGGGACCAGGCCTCGTCCATGACTGGGCTCCCCTTACTGAGAGTTTGGCTCCCAGCGCTCCTGTCCCACAACCTTGGGGCACTATTGTCACACTTGTGGTTTGCCCTGTCCTACATGCCCCCAATGGGACCAGTGCATGCATGTGGACATGAGGTGGGAGTCTCGGAGGAGAGATTCTCTGGAGTAGTTAAATCAGTCAGATTAACCCACCAATAATTCAGATCTATGGTGAGCATGGCGCTGCACTCGGCGCCACTGGAGGGTTTGGTGGGAAGAAGACTGGGCTAGAGAGTCTGGAATTACAAAGACGAAGAAGGTGGCTGATGACTGGGGAGCTGAGACTTCTCTGGGGTGGGGGAGGGGAGCGCGTGGCCTGAGGCAGCAGACCAGGAGGCACAGTTTTCTCCGAGGGGTTGTTGACAGATTTCCATCCAGATAAGTCAGTGCTCCTCACTCAAGTGACCCTTTTGGCAAGAAACGCAGGTGCCCAGGCCATCACGTGGCCTAACCATGTGACCTCCACAGGGAAGATACAAAGGACGCCACTGAGTTTCTGCCCTAACAGCCCATATCACATGTCTGTCCGGGCTCTTTGGTGATGGACGATAGAAGCCAATTCTGGCTAAGTGAAGGGAAAGGCAGATGTTCGGAAGGTTCTGGCAGACCTCGAGGCACAGAGCAGGAGAGAAGCTAAAGCAGGCCCATGAATCTTGGTAGCAGGAGCCCTTGGATGGTCTCCCCTGGGTCACTGGAATGGCACAGGCCCAGTGGCTTTCGGTCCTAGTGCCAGTGGGTTGCGGGAGAGAAGGTCTGGCCGGCCTGGGTTGCCCATATGTCCCTCCCTGGACACAGGCCAGGCACCTTGACTGGAGGGACCGCCAGGTGCTCACAGATGCAGGAGGGGCAGTTTGCCAAAGACAAGAAAGGAGAGCCATTAGCACAGAAGGAGTTAGGGCCACCGGGAAGTGGTCAACAGATGGCTGCTCCCCGGCCGTGAGAGTGGTCAGCTTTCATTCTTTCCTTTTCCCATAGAGGATCTGAATTTCAGACATACTCAGGTATATGAGAAAATTAGGAATATAGGAATTCTTTTCCTATAACTGAAACATAACAATAGCACCAGCCTCCAGTCGAGCAGCTGGGAGAAACATACTCTCCCCAGGCTTTCTCTCCCATGTCCTTTGCGTTGCCTCTGAGTTTCGGGGGCCTTGCGAACCAAGGTGACTCAGTTATCTATCGCTGCAAAAGAAACCACCCCAAACGCAGTAGTTTCAAACACACTGGTTTATTATTTCTCACGATTCTGTGGGTTGCCTGGGTGGTTCTGCCTCACATAACACCAGCTGGGACCACTCACGTGGCCCTGTCCAGCTGGAAGCTCCGCGGGTGGCCTCTCTCTCCACATGGTGTCTCGCCTTCCACGGCCTCTTCACACGGAGCTGGGCTTAGGGCGAGGCAAGCAAGCAAGGCATAGGGCTCGGAATTCAAGGGCGTACTCACTCCCACGTGCGTGTGATGCTCAGCCGACACCCTTGACCTTTTGGGGTTCCTCCTGCTGCTCGGTCATTCTGGGGGACGGGGGAGCTCTGTGAGGCTTTCCCAAGCCCACTGGCCTTTTCTTTTCTGGGGCGTTGCTCTCTCCCTGGACTTTAACAAGGAAAAGGGGCCCAGGTCCCCCTGCACTCAGATCCCTCCAAACCTACTTGGATTTCTCACCCCAAAGCACAGGACCTTCCTTTCTCAGGGATCCACACTGTCTGTCTCTTTCTTTCTCTGGAAGGTCTGTCCCAGTCCTGTCCAGGGAAAGATCTGTGTAGCTTCCCCCTCTCTCAGACTCTGCCGACAAACCCCAGCTGCCTCAGCACCCCTCCCCTGACTCCCCCACCCCAGGTCTGCATCCTAGTGAGACTCCCGTGCTCTGCCTGGGATCCCCCCTCGCTCCCCCTTGTGCAAACAGGGGCCTCAGGCTGAAAACGGTGGTAGAGTTCCTGTCATGTGTTTCTCTTCCCTCAAGTCCTGCATCCAATGTCCGGTGTCCGAGGACAACATAGTTCTTCGACCGGCCATTTTTCTAGTCGTTTACAGCAGGAGGGACTAGTCTGGTTAGTCCGCCACGACGGGAGTCACTAAATAGGTCTCTCGTGAAAAAGCATACAGTTGGCTTTGTTTTTAAATTCCACATGAGAGTTGGTGTTTTAACGGTAAAGTGTAACCCATTTTCTTTTTCGGAATATTTGCAAACGAATCGATCATCTCAATTAATATTTTCTATTTGCCGTGATTTTTTCGTGTCCTTTTTCCCCTTCATTCTTCTCCTTCACAGTATTGGATGGATCAAGTCTTATTTCCTTCTCTTCTCTACGAGTTTAGAGGTTACACACTCTATCTCTATCCTCTCAGGGCTTACCCTTAACTTTTAACGTAAAACTCAGGAAGTCTAAAGTCAGTGGGTTTCTTCATTATCGCTTTGAGCAACGGAATGAATTTACAATGCATTAACTCTGATTTCCCTGCTTGTGACTTCCATGTTACTATTTTCTCATATTTCTCTTCTACGTTTTGTAAAACCCTCCAAAATGAACCCTACGAATTTGTCTTCTTAAAAAAAAAAAGAATAGTCAATATTCATTTCCTTTTGCCAACATTTGCTTGAAAACATGTTGCTTCTTGCATGTCAGTCTTCCTTCTGGGCTCATTCTCTCTCTTACTGAACCGCATCCTCTAGTTCGGTGAGGCCATACGAATGGCAAGCTCTGAGCCTTTGTTTATTTTTAAAGGTCTTTGTTATGCCTTTCTCTTGAGCGAGAGTTTGATTGAGCACAGAATTCCAGAGAGACGGGTCTTTTTTCTCAGCACTCGGAGGCTATGAGATGGTCCGTCGTCCTGGAGCATCATCCACTGTTGCTAAACGACATGCGCTGTCAGATCGATGTTGTTGCTTGGTACATGTGTCCCTTCTGGCTGCTTTCTCTTTGTCTTGATATTTCGACGTTTCACTACGATGTGTCTAGGTCTTTTATTTTTCCTATTTAGGAATCGAGTGTGCTTTTGGATCTGAGGACTTCCATCCCTATAGTGCCTCTCCCCATCGTCTCTGTTTTTTTTCCATCTAAAATTCCTAGTCAACATATGTTAGCACTGGTTTATTCTGTCCCTAACTCTTACACTTTCTCGATATTTTGGGCTGATCACTGGATGGTTTCTTCAGATCTATTTTCCGCTCGTTCCATCTCTTCAGTTGCACTGCGTTTGCCATGAAACTCATTTTAATAACCGTATCGCTTCATTTCTAGCCATTCTTTTTTTGCGTGAAACCTCCTGTTCTCTTCCTTATAGCATTTGGTTTTTTTTTCACTAAGATTTCTTACCTTTCTCTTTTTAATAATTTTAAACTGACTTAGTCCCTGAAAGTTGCTCTGTTATCTTCTTTACTGAGCATCCTAAGTGGCATCTGTTGACTGCTCCTCATGGTGAATTATCTCCCCAGGTGGTTTGTATTTTCGTTTTCGGTGTATTTTTTACTTGTGGGGGTTCTTTGGGTATGATAATACTCTACAGAATGGTTCTGCTTTTGTTACTGTGGAGCTTTGGGGGTTTCAATGGTCTCTGGTTGGTGCTTTATGCGAATTTGTTGGTTTAGGATTTACGAAACACATGAGCGCTTTGCTTGTGCACAATTTTCTCACGATCCGTACTTTTTGTCCCCCACCAAGGCCCTGGTAGGCTGCGGGCTTCCTTCCCACTTCCCTGGCTCATAGATGGACAGTGTCTCAGTCCTCTTATCGGAAACAAGGCATGCTTTTGAGGCTTCCGGAATTATACAGAGAACTCGCTTGCACCTTGCTGCCTTGTCTGAGCCCAAGTTTATGTCTTCTGCTCTCATACTGGCATTAAAACCCCTGCCTCATGCTATTGGAAGTTTTATTAGTTTCGCTGTTACAAACGTATTCTTACTTATTGCAAAAAAGCCTCTTTTTTCCGCCCCCAATTTCCCGTTCCTCACAGAAAAGAACTATTAGAACTTCCAAAATGTTTTCTTTGCACATCCAAAAGTATGCATGCATATAAGTGTATACGTATATACACAAATATGCACATATATGTTATTAAAATAACAAATATGCACACACGTTATAAAAACGACACACGTTATTAAAAGATGGACTCACACTAAATACATCTTTATATTTTCATGGAGTGTATCAGCATCATGACTTTCTAACAGTGGAATTGCTGAATCAGAGAACATGCACATTTAAAATGTTTACAAATAACGAATGGATAATTGCACTTTTAAAATGAATCAATTTACATTCCCACCAATAATGTGAAGGAAGTATTGACCATTTCCCCATACCCTCCCCTATACTGAGTTTTATCAATCTTTAACATTTTCGCCAGACCAATAAGGAAACACTAAGATCTCATTGTTGTTTTTATCTACTTTGCTATAACCAAAAGTGGGGATGAGCATGTTTTTCACATGTTTATGACCTTTTACATGTCCTTTTCTGTTAACTGCCTGTTTATACTATTGCATATTTTTAGTGAATTCTTTCTATTTTTTCTTTACATCTGTAAAGAGCTCCTTACAAATTATGTACATAGTCTTATGTACGTAATGTATAATACCGAGTATGTTTGTCTTCATAGAGATCTGGTCTCATTTGTATAAATTAATTCCTGCGTAGGGGCACCCCCTTATCTGAGTATTCTTCATCAGCATCCCAACAATGATAGTCCCCACGAAAGCAAATTTTTAACATCAAAACATTCACCGATGACTTTACTGCTTAATATTTATCCCTTCGCACTGCCATTGGATCTAACTCTTAAAATAGAATGAAAAATCAGTTCCAAAGTAAAAAGGCGAATCTCTACAAATATTTGGAATTTCATGAGGTTGATGCACACGGTGCTGGAGAGCTGTTAGAATCACGCCCAGAGCCATTGCCAAACGAAGGTCTAGCTGTGTTGGTTAGCCCAGTTAATGAAGAAAATAATAAAGAAGAAAAAATCCGTGAGAACGAAGACTGGTCAAAAGAGAATAACCAGAACACCAGTGGGTCTGAGAGGTCTTGAGGAGAACCTGAAATCGAAGGGCAGGCTGCTGCGGGGAAGGAGTGAGAAGCACCTGGCTCTGTGCGTGTTTGGAGGAAAAGCTGTAGGGCCTGCTGATGAATTAGAAGCTGGAAGCAGCCAGGAAGAAAGAAAAGGCAAGAGTGACAAGTGACTCCGGGTTTTTTGGCCAAGGTCCTGCCTGAGTGATGGGTGACAGTTACCAAGATGGGGAAGGCACGTTTGGGGGAGAAGGAGAGAAATTCAGAGTGTGGTTGTTCCTAAATTTTATAAGAATTCAGAAAGTGCCTTAGCGTTTTATATGGCGTTTGCTGTTATTTTCTCTTACTATTGCCCCCATCACAAAGGGAATACAAACTTAAACAAAATGCAGGCATTACTGAAATATGCAATAGAAAAATCAAAGCCCCTCTCCCACGGATAACGAACTAGTCAATATCCGCTGCATAGTCCTAAATTTTAATTCGTCAGCTAGATTACATTAGCGTTAATATTTGTTTTTAATTTTTAACTTGTTACACATTTTAAAATTAGATCATATATTTTGCATAGCCGGCTATGTATTTCACTTAGTAATATATTGCAGACATTCTCTTCACGTCGTTAATCCACTTTGATTTATTTACCAGTTATTTACAAAAGGGTATTAAATGTATCCGTGCGGCACTTGCTCCTTTTCTCCAGTCCCGTGACTCGGAGCTCTGTCCACGTTCGTACGTACAGATACATAGACAGCCTCCTCCTTTTTTCTCTCTAGAGCAGTGCTGACCAGTAGAACTTTCTGTGACGATGAGACGTTCTCTCTCAGTGCCGGCCAAAGCAGTAGCCATTTAGCACTTGAAATGTGGCTGGTGTGACCGAGGAGCAGAATTTTAAATTTTATTTAATTTTCATTCATTTAAATTTAAATGGCTAGCTGGTGGACACAAAGCTGGCGGCCCCTGGGTTGACCAGTGCAACTCTCTCATTTTCCATCGTATTCCATGGTAGGAATATGTTACCACTTACTTTGTCTTTCCCCTGTTGAAGGATCTTCAGGTTGAGTTTTTTTGGCTTTTACAAAGAGTTTCAAGGAACGTGCTTAAAGAAGTTCATGGCCGTGTACTGTGTGAGCACACAGTTCTGTGTCAGTAGTTGTTAGTGCTCAAAATTGTCACTATTCAGTTTCTTCTTGACTCTCTACCAAAGCAGAAAGATCATTTTTGCCAACACTGAATTTCCAGGCTGCCGCTCTAATCTGAATGACTATGTAAACTTTGCCGTGTTAAATCTTGGGGAGTCCTGGCCTTCTGGCCTAGCCTTTAGTGTCACAGAAGTCTCAAATGCCACGCCTAGCCACAGGAAGGACCTCAGCCCCAGCCCTAGTGAGATTAAACAAATCCTTCACATGAAATAATCAAATAACAGGGCCTTCGAGGCCCATGAATTCATGACAGGCACATAGAAAGTAATAATAGTAATGCACGGAAAGCAATAACTACAAAAAAAAAAAAAAAACAATTAAAGAAATAAAATAGAACGGTTATGTTTCTAATGTAACCTTCTGTGGTAAACAAGATTTTGTCCCCCATGCCCTTTGCTTTCTGCTGTTGTGACTGTGAATACTTTATTTTATATGGCAAGAACGACTTTGCAGATGTAATTTGCCTTATGGACCCTAAAATAGGAAGATTATCCTGGATTACCAGGTGGGCCCGATCTAATCACTTGAGCCCTTAAAAGCAGAGAAATTTCTCCAGCTGGGGTCAGTCAGGGAGATGCTGCAGAAGCCAGAGAGATTCAAAGCATGATAAGGGTACCTGGCTGGCTTTGAAGACGGAGGAGGCCAAGTGGCCCCCTAAAAGATGAAAATGCCACCACCAAGGAAGACCAGGTGCTGTAGGCGTAAAAAATAAAAACATAAAAAATAAAGATAAATAAGGGATTGTAAGCGGACGAGGTCCTTGCAATCTGTGAGGTCAACCAAGGGTTGCCTCGCCTGAAAAATAAAAGAGAATGCCTCAGCCAACAACAAGCAGGAAAAAGGGACCTCAGTCTTTCATTCGGAGCTGAATTCTTCCCACGACCCGAATGAGCCTGGAAGCGGATTCTCCCCCAGAACCTGCAGGTAAGAGCCTAGGTCAGCAAGCATCTTGATTCTGGCTCACTGGAACTCAGAGCTGAGAAACCAACAGAACCTGCCGAACCTCTGACTTACAGAACTGTGAGAGAATAAATCAGCGTCGTTTTAAGCTGTTAAGTTCGTGGCGATTTGTTACAGCAGCAATAGAAAACTACTACACCACCTCATGTTAATTCAGCCAAAAAAATCGTAGTATAACCACATTGGAAAGTGGACGGGCAATTCAATTTGGTAAGGGAAGAGTACAGAAATAAAACTAAATTCTCATGTTGCATGGCAGGAAGTCAAAAGATTATATTTAAACCTTAAAAACTAACAGCATGAAAAGAAAAGCATCTGTGGAAAGAAGGCAGTAAATAGTCACAGAAGCAGCTAAAAGTGTTAGAAGCGGTTGCTTCTGGCAAGCAGGAACGGGGAGCGAGGAGGAGTGGGGAGGGTGCAGATTTTTTTCATTTTAAGCCTTGGAGAGAACGATATGATTTTTAAATGCATGTTCCTATGTTCCCGCAACAAAAATAAAGAACAAGTCCCACCACCGCCAGTGTAAGGCGTGCCCACCTCTTTGAGAGCCCGAGCAGGTGCGCTGGGGGCCGCCCCTGCCTGCCGGGCAATGTGGCAGCCCTTCTTCGTCCCTGCCAGGGTGGAGGACAGCAACGGCAGGCTCCTGGAGTCAGAGAGGAAGCTGCAGGAGGAGCGGCTGCGCGCCGTGGTGCTAGAGCAACATCTGGAGAAGATGCGCCTGGAGCCGGGGAGGACGCCGGCCTCTCAGAGGGCAGCTTCCAGGAGCAAAGCAGGTAAAGGCTGGACCAGGGGCCCCGGTGGCTGCTGCGGGGAGGGGCCTTGCGGCTCGTGGAGGCGCCGATCGGCAGTACCCCTTCTGCCTTGAGAGGGAAAGGTGGGAACCAGAGGCCTCCTTCCAGGTGGGGCTCTGCCGGCCCCTGCTGCTGCGCGTCCTCTCCTGGCCTCCTTGTCAGACCCAGGAGTCCCAGAGCAGCATAGGCCCCGGTGGCCCGGTGGCCCAGGCCGTTCGTGTAAGGTGGCAGTGCCCTCGCTGAATGCCTTCGGCCACCTAAGCCAGTCTAAGGTGGCTGCTTCAGCTTCCCCACCAGCAGTAGGAAGGGCAGAAGGGCAGGGGACACCCTGCTCCTCGCCTTTTGAGGAAATGACCCTGACGTTGCTTTCCTCCCCTGGGCCGACCCCAGTCGTATGACCATGCCCAGCTCTGGAGGGAGCTTTACTTGTCCAAAACTAAAGGTCTGTTGCTCCAACACCGTGGTGCTCAAGGTTTGGTCTCCAGACCAGCCGTGTTAGCATCTTGTGGGGCTCGGGCAAGCTAGGGGTACAGACTGCCAGAGCCAGAAGCCATTTCCGGGGTGGCCGACTCCCAGGGAGGAAGCCTCTCCAGTGTCTGACATCCCCGTCCCAACCCCCACAAGACCCTGGGGTGCAGGTGCCGTCCCCACTGCCCTGCCTCTCAACGCCCCAGGCCTCCCCCCATCTCTTCTCCAGCAAAGGACACTCGGACTTTTGTTCCCAGCCCAGATGAGATAAGAACGTTTCAGAAGAGAGACACAAAGGCGGAACTGTGCTCGTCTGCCTTTTCTCACCAGCAGGGCCCAGGACTCGAGGGGCCTTCCAGGCTCTGCTGAGGGGCCGAGTTAAGGAAGGTCCTGGGGCGTAGCCCTGCCTACCGTCAGGAGCAGGTCCCCTCGGGATGTGGTGTCTCCTGGCCTTGGGCTCACCTCCTGGCCAGCAGCCAGGCTCCTCACCGGGGAGGGCTAAGCCATGGTGGGAAAAACTACCTTGATCCTGCCTGGACAGTGAAGAGCGACTGCCCAAAAGTGCCCATGTGGCCTCTGCCACCTGCTGGCCTGGGACATGGGCAGAGCAACACTCCTCTGGGAAGCACAGCGCACCGCCCCCCGCAATCTGTAAAATGAGGAGGACCCGATTCTGGAACGTGGTCCCTCGTGGCAGTTCCACTCCAGCGGGGAAGAGAGATGACATATAAATAAACCAGGAAAAGACGTGATAGGTCAGATGGAGGCAGGTGCTCTGGCTTGAAGCGGAGGAAGGGGCCAAGCTGTCTGAGAGAGCAGCTGTTTTCTATAGGGTGACCAGTGAAGACCTCGCCGGCCGACGCGTTGACATCTGAGCAGAGGTGGTGGCAGCGGGGGATGGGGCACGGGAGCACGAGGGAAGAGCATGTGCCAAGGCGTCGCTCCGGGAGCCTGGCCGGAGGCTCGGAGGAAGAGCAGGGAGGCGGCGGAGCTGGAGAGTAGTGAGGGACAGAACTGGGACGTGAGGTCAGAGAAGTCACGGGGTGCCGAGGAGGTGGTCCAAACACGCAGGGTCTTGAGGGCTACGTGTGAATTCACCCAGGTCTCAAAAAGTTCCAGAAGCAAGAACTATCATCCTCAGAACTCAGAGAGGTGGATGATTTACCTGAGGCCACACAGGAGGGGGTGAGAGCCAGGCCTGCTGATGCCAGGTGACTTCCCCCGGGCTACATCACTCCTGAGGGGCTCTTCCGTGGAGTTCTTCTGATGCTGTGATCGTGCCCAAGTTCTCCGCCAGCTGGGCTTTGATCTCTTTTTTTGAGCATTCTGTGGTCCCTGGCCCCAGCCACCCTGGACCCTCTGTAGGTATGTCTGAGAGAGGGACTGGAGGGAGGGCCTGGAGGGAGGGCATCAGATAAAGTGACAGCCTAGACTCAGGCTCAACCTAAGGCCAGACCTCAGGCCCAGCTACCTTCCAGAAACTCATGAGGTACAAAGATGGAGGGAGTAACAAGAGGAACTACCCTGGTCCAAAGTCAGTGCTACGGCAGAGGCCAAAGCCAGGGTCCCGGGGAACGCAGAGCAGACATCGTGGAGGGCTTCTGGAGGGTGGCAGCCTTTGTCCTGCACCTTGAAGGAGGTATAGTATTTCAACGAGTGGAAAAGCAGGAAGTGGGCAGCTGGGGGGAGGAGAAGGAGAGTGAAAACACAGGGCCATGGCTTCGTCACAGAAAGTGGCCACTGCTGCCCCACAGGTCTGCCCGCCTCTAACACCAGGCACAAACCGAATGAGAGCGAGAGGAAGGACCCGTCTGTCGCCCAGCTCTCCAGCGTGCCCATGGAGTCCCAGATGGAGGAGCTGACCACCAGGTGCTCCCGGCCCCGTCTTCCTGAGGGTGGCGTTGTCTGGGTAGAGGTGCTTTGATGGGCAAAAGGATGATGTCCACCCCCACCGCGCCCCTTGACTTCTGTTTGCCCAGAAGGCTGATCTTTCTCCGTCGTGGGTTGTAGGCCTACAATTCAGCCTCTGGCCACCAGTGGGCAGAGAAACTTAGCCATGACTGATGACCCCTAAGTCCCAAGAGAAGTTTTATTAAGCATGGGTTGCGGAATCCACTTTTCTCATTCAGTTAAATCTTTTAAGGTCAAATGCAGTGATGGGGCAGGAAGGAGGGGAGCCACTCCTTGTGCCATCCTTGAGGCGGCCAACATTTGGGGAGCAAACAGGTGCCAGCTGCAGGGCTGTGGGCCGGCCCGGAGAGGAATCCCACATGGTATTCTCCCAAAGGTCTGTGGGAGGAGGGGACAGGCCAGAGAGAACCCTGAGCCTGAAGAGCAGCCGTGCTGTCAGCGCTCCCCCCACCCCACACACACACACACAGGGTCCTTGGTACAGGCGTACACACATGCACCAGCTCGGGCTGCACTGAGCCCTCTCTCCATGCGGTCCAGGCTGGCCATCCAGGTGGAGGAGAATGAAATGCTGAAGGCTGCCCTGGCCAGCGCTCTGCGGGGAAAGGAGGAGGACTTCCGTATGTACCACGAGACCCTGGGCCAGGTGAAAGGGGTCTTCCTGCAGGCCCTGCGGCAGCAGAAGGCGGACAAGCACTAGGACGGTGTCCCCGTGTCACCCTGGCCACACAGGGCAACCTCAGGCCCTAAAAGGACAAGCCTCTGTCGAAGGATGCCACCTGCTCCCGGAAGCCAAGCGGGAGCGGCCAGCTCGGCCCCTTCTCCTGGAAGAGGCCCCCCGAGGGTGACAGAGCCAACATATCAGGCCAGGAGGGAAAGGGAGGAGCCCCGGGCAGATGTGGCTGTGACAGGGAAGGGCCAGCAAGAGCTCTGGGACAACAAGCCGCTGTGGACAGATGCCGTCCGCTGGGCAGGTGCTTATCGCCCTTGTCCTAGGGCCCAAGGGGCCCCTGCGTGCCCACGTGGCTCCGTATACACAGGAGAGCCCTCGTGCTCGGGGCTGGGAGCACCCTCCAGGCCACCCAGCCCCACCCCGTCCCTATACCTCTCTCGGCCTCATGGCTCCGTCCAAGGCCATCCGCACCCTCTGCAGACTTGGGGCACCACACTCTCAGCCACCTGTCGGCCCACGCCTCAGCGCTCTTCCTTAGATGCAGACCCTCGGACTTGTAATAATAATGATTCTTTTTATAATCACTGCAGCTCCCAGTGAGTGAGCATCTACTGTAGAGACCTCACCCTATCTAGTCCTCTAGTAACCCAGGGGGTTGTCACCCTATTTTACAGATGAGGAAACTGAGGCTCACAGAAGGAAGCTGAGGTAATATTTAACCCTGGCCAGCCTGACCCCAAAAGCCGGGTCCTCTAGTTGGCAGATGAGCCAGGGCAGACGTGCCCGCCCCGCTGCTGGGCAGCTCCGCTCCCAGCCAGCTGCTCCAAGAGCTGCCTCCACGTGCTTCCAGAGGCTGCAGCCGGTGGCCGCTGGTGGCAGGGGGCAGAGGTGGGACTGGGCTGGAGCTTCAGGCAGGAGGATTTTTGAGCCAGTGAGTCTAGGCGAAGGTGGTGCACCACCCTCGCTGCAGTGCAGGGGTGAGCCGGGAGATCTGCAGCCAGAGAGCCCCCAGGCCTGACCCAGACACCCTGACCACGCCTGTGCACACGCAGGTGCACATGCAGATGCAGGCGTACACAGACACCAGACCCGGGAGCACCGACGGCACGTGTACACGCACGCATACCCACAGACAGTGCCAACCCCACACTCAGGCCCCCCACAGAGGCCCACGCGCGCACAGCAGGCACGTGGCTGTAGACGCGCATTCCCACGCATGAATAACAGTCCCCGTGTCACTTGTGCAGTGACTCACAAACAGGGGTGCACATACTGGGAAAACACCCCTCCCCAGGGGAAGCCAGCTGGGGCTCCTGGGACCCTGTCTGCTCAGGCCCTTCCTCGGGACAGGGCCGTGGAGGGACTCCATGCCGAACCCCCAGTCAGGGAGGCCCTCACCCTGCCTGGCAGACCAAGGAAGGCTGTCAGCAAGAAGCCGCTGATTCTGATGGGTCTCAAGGCCGGTGAGAAGGAAGAGCTTTTCTCTGATTCCCGGCCAGGCAGAGAGCGAGGGCGAAGGTCAGTGTGGGGCGGGGCCTGTGTGATAGGAGTGGGCCCAACGCAGTCCCAACACCAGGACGATAGTTGTCACCCGCCTTCACCGGCTGGCTCTGGGGACCCCTGGGATTGATCTGAGTGCGCAGGGGTGCAGTGGAGTCCCTGAGGGAGAGAAACAAGCATAGGACCAGCCATCCTTCCTCAGGGGTCACCTCAGATGCTGTCCTTCCTGTCTCAGGGCTGCATCTGAGAGAGCAAGGGGCACCCTGTCCCAGGGTCCGAACAGATGGGGGTGAGTGGGACAGATTTCTTTCCCCATTCACCAACTGTGTGACCTCAGGCAAGTTCCTAAACGTCCCTGAGCCTCCATGCCCTCATCTGTAAAACGGGGACAATAATAGAACCCTTCCTCCAGGGCTGCCATAGGTGTCAAAGAATAACTCAGAGACATGTAACTGATTATTAGCTTGCTGTTTACTTCTGTACAAGGGACGAGTATCGATAGACTGATTTCAGTCCACAGAGATAAAAACAGAATTTACGTAAAAGAGAGGAGGGCAAAGTTCAGTCAGGCATAGTAAATCTAGTTTGTACGTTTTTGGGTAAACTGATTAGCCGGCATCTTGCAGAGATCGGTCTGGGCATTCAGTCCTTGCTTAGGCCAGAGGTGGGTATAAAGACAGCTGTTAACAGTTTACGGAGTCTACGGGCAACCTCGCGAGCTTTGCTGTGGAGCTGTGGGCCAGGGGTCCCTGTCACGTCTGCTGGTACCTGCCATCAGCGCCCCAGCTTACTTAGACCAGGTCTGCTCCATCCCCCATCAGACTCCCTCTTCAGGAGTCACTGAATTAAAAAGTGCCAAGGGCTAGAGTAGCAGCTGGCACACAGAAAGCGCTCAATAAATGTTAGCCTTAGTACTACCTCTATTAGTTCAACAAGTACTTATCGAACAGCTCCTCTGCCCCAGGCACAGGGGTGCCGGGTGAGTCCCAGGCCCCCATCCACCCAGCTGGCCTGCCATCGGGATCAGCGAGTGCCACCTGCACGCCAGCCTCTCGGGGCCTGTGAGGGACCCCCGGTGAACCTGACTTGCTGCAGCTCTCACGGAGCTCCTGGTCCAGTCAGAGAGGCCTGGGAAACAGAGGGCCGCGTCAGGTGGGAGGGTACAGGGTCGGGGTAGTGTGGCACCTCAGAGCCTCCCACCTCCCCTGCTTCAGCTCCCAGGCTCATTGCCCAGATCTGGGTGGGGAGGGGGCTGTCCACATCTCCCTAAGGTTTGAGTGGGGGAGGGTGGAAGGGGAAGGCCCAGGTGAGCCTGGGAACAGGATTTTTAAAGGAAAGAGGGGTTGTCAAAGGGACCAAGGGCAGGGTCCCTGCAGGAGCTAGCCCAGGTGGGCCAAGTGGGGAGTGGGACAGCCTGGTCCGTTCGAGTGAATGCCCGGGGTCCCTCCTGAGCAGCACCATCTGTGCCTGGGGTCCTGAGATGACCTTCCCAGCCCCCAGGCAGCAAGAGGGCTGGACATGCTTTTCACAATTGGGAACATGTGCCCAGAGCCACAGGTGGTAGGGGGAGGGGCAAGGGCAATCAGAGAGGCCTCACGTGTGAACTCTCCCTGGCTGCACCCCAGGTGGGGGCCGCAGTCCTGGGCGCTCAGGTTCCCGCACTGACAGGTGAGACCCAGTTGAGCCGTGGGTGTGGCTTGGCCACTGTCCCCGTGGGGCCTCTGGGGCACTACAGCTGAGCTGGACAAGGCTGCAGTCTGGCTCAGGCTGACCCGAGCCCCTCCTCCGAGCCCCCACATCCAGTGTCTAGAACCAGCCTCTCCTCCCCATCTCCTCCCACAGCCGGTCCACCTCCACCACCCACAAGGGAGTCCCTGCCTGCCCACCCGCTCTGCACACATGCTGTCTCCCCTGCAGTCCCTGAGCCTTACGCACACACACACACCATACACACATCACACGCAACACGTGCTGTAGACAACATACAATGCAAAACATAAGCACAGATCCCACACACGACCAACACAAAACAGTTATACACACATGCAGGACACTTTCCCCACAATTTTACCTTGAACAATAACAACAGAACACTAAGAGATGAAAAGGAACTCTGCCCTCCACGCCTTTCCTAGTGGCTCTTGTGACATCTGCAAAGTGCCCCCAGGTCCTTGTGCTGGTCTTAACCCAGTCAGCTTCCTGCTGCTAGTTCTGTGGGCTGGCCACGCCAGGCACTCCTCCCAGCACCCCTCACACAGGGTGGGGCTGACCTTGGCCCTCCAGCTCCAAGTCCGAGGGGCCTCCCATGCCGCCCCACGTGCCCTGCTCCCTACAGACCCCACTGCGAGGGGCCAACCCGGTGACCATCTCCTGCTGTGTGTGAGTCCTGCCTCTCTGGGTCTCGGGAGTGGGAGGGCTTCTGTCTCCAACAGCCTCCCTTTATGACCGATTCAGTGAGCCAAGCCCTTGTCATGCACGTAGTGAGTTGTTGAACACCCGGAGAATCCAATATGGTCAGAGCCAGCAGCCTGCCCATTTATACGTGAGGATCTGAGTGAGGCTCAGAGAAGTGGTCACACCAGTGAGGTGCAGCTCAGGTTCAAGCGAACTGGCTTGATCTGTGCTCTTGACCATGGAGCCAAACCACCCTGTCTGCTTCCCCGAGACGTTCTCTTCGAGTGTGTGCCGGGGTCTCCTTGCTCCTTCCTCTGGGCCAGTGTATCTGATGTTTGGGGAAAAGCTCGTGGCCTAAAGGCACTGTGGGACAGTGGGAGTCTCTCCCCACTTCCCAGGCCTCACTCAGGCCCTGGAAGTGCCCCTGTTGGGGGTGGAGAAGCAGCCGCCTCTTCCCCTAGTCATACCCGAGCCCAGGGCTGTGGTTGCAATCAGCAGGGCCTCCAGGACCTGTCCTGTGACTGATGACAGTCACAGAGCTCCATCTGACCCCAGACTCCAGGCCTTGGCCCCCTAAACACATGTATGACGAGTCCTCCACTGACTCTGAGGCTGTCATCCCAAAGCGGGGCGAACTATGAGAGGTTCCTGTCCTCTCGGGGGTAGCCTTCAGGATATCTGCCCCCGTCAGGCAGGCTGGGCTGAGGCCTTGGCTGTGAAGGCCACGGTCCCCACCCCAAGCCCTTTCCCAGAGGAGTCCCAGTTGGTTCAGGGCATTACTGTCTGCCTCCACCCTGCCATCGAGAGGCTGCCACTCTAAGCACCCACTCAAGCCTGGCCAAGTAACCCTGCTCGCACCCCTCCACTTGGGCGAGTCCCCGTGGGGCTGGAGTACAGGGGCCCCCTCAGCCACATGTCTTGTGCCAGTTCCAATCCTACTAGACAAGTCAGTCCTCTCCCAGGCACTGGTGACTGGCCAGCCGGGACTCTTGGCATGACAAAATGGACCGGGTGAGGAGCTAGATGGTCTGTCCTGGGGTGGCCTTTGGGAGTTCACATGTAAAGGTGCAGGATGGAGTTCATGGAGATGAGCATGAAAGTGCATGCATGTGTGTGTGCGTGCGTGTGTGTGTCCATGGGGTGGGGGCCACCCGGAAGGCTTCCTGGAGGAGGAAAGGAGTTCCGACTAGCAGTGAGAGGGAGGCACAGCCTCTATGGACCAGAGGAGGCGGGTTGAAGTGAGGCCCAGGTGTCCCTGTCTCAGCCACTGGCCACCCCTTCCCCCTCCCCACCCCCCTCCAATATCCTCCCTGCGGCTCCCTGTGGCCAGCGGCTCTGCAGCACTCGGCTCTGCTCCACTCCACTCCGCTCAGCTTCGCTCCAGGAAGGCCACCTCCTCCCTGCCCTCCTCCTCCCCCTTCTCCTGCTGTCACCACTCACCGCTCATAGCCTCGAGAGGGTGGGGACCCCAGGGCTGGACACACCCCACCGTGGCCCCAGAGCCCAACTGGTCGGACGGACACGCAGTCGGACACAGGACCCCGGAGCCTCGAGGTGGGCAGTGTGCCAGGGTCCCTCTCAGCCTCCTCAAGGTCAGTGCCAGGCGGGGATGCAGGTACTCTGGGTCCTTTAGAACTTCGGAGCCCACCCCAGGCCCCTCATCCCAGACCTCAGGCCCCCAAATGGGCTTTGACCCCAAGGGTCCCTGAGGTAGGCCGGACCAGAGGATAGGGGGACCCCTGTGTCCATAAGCTGGTCCAGGTCCGGGGGTCTGTTGGGAGATGTCCCGGGCTAGAGACCAGCCCTGGCCCTGCTCACAGAGGCCTCACTGGGGACATCCCACACCGGCCATGGGGAGCTAAAATTGGAAAGTGGCGAGTGGGAGGCAGCTGACAAAGCTATTTCGCGGGCTCTTCACCGTGCTCCGATTTCAAGCTCCTGCTCCATTAACCTGATCCTTGGGGCCTCCCCACCCCCACCTGGCTGATGAGGAAGCACCTCAGCCCTCAGGCCGGCAGTGCAGAAGTGAGGCCCAGCAGACCCCCAGTGTGGGCAGGGGCAGTGGACTGTCTTCTCTTATCTGTGACTCTGGAGGAGCTTACTGAGAACACTCGACCCTGTCCCGGGTCCTCCGTGTGACCTTGACCCTGCCCCTCTCTGGTCCTCTGGTCCGTGCCCCCTCCATCTGTGTAACAGGGAGAATGCTGACTGTGGGGACCCAGGAGAGCTGTTTTCATAGTTGGTGAGGGAGAGCTGGGAGAGGGTCTGCGGAGGGAGGGAGAAGCATGCCAGCTACCTCTTGGCTCAGCCCAGACCGAGAGGCTACCGGGACGTATTCCTTTAATTTGGGCCCTGAGTCTGTTACCCACAGCGTCCTTGGGAAGGTCCTGGGCCAGGTCGGAGCCATATAGGAAGGGAATAGGTGCTAACTGAGGCTCCAAGAATGGACCAGTTTAACTCCTGGGACAAACTAGGCCTGATAGGAGGGAGTGGCTAGGCTCACTCTGAGCAGAATACTGGTCAGCACCTTGGACAGCGGCCAGCACCAGCCTGGTGACCACCTGACCTCACTCCAGCTACCCCAGGGCACTTCTTCAAATAGCACAGCCTCCAGCCAGCACCCAGGGCCTGAATACACCGAGCACTGAGAGAGTGGCCTGTGTCGGTGAGGCCTCCGACACAGGCAGGGACCAGGGACATGGCAGGCTGGGGCTCAGGGGCTGGTTGGGGCAATGGGGGTCAGTGAGAAGCTGGAGGCTGAACGAGAGAGATGGAGGCTTGGCGTTGTGGGCCAAACCTGGAGAGGTCACAGAAAGGAAAGGTGTCCCAGGAGGGTGTGGGAATTCGAGAAGGGACAGGGAGGGTGGTGGGCTTTTGTCGGGAGCTGAGGGAGGCTTACTGAGGGGGATGGGGACCCCCGGGAGCCAGAAACATAATCAAGGTGACGCAGGTGGGGTTTCTCCACTTGAAAGGCCCCGGAGGCCTTGGCAGGAGCAGTTTGAGCAGAGGGTGGGGACCTGTCCACCTGCAAGGTAGGAGGCGTGAATGAAGGCGAGAGTGGAGATTACGCTTCACTGGGAAAGGCAGGAGCTAGAGCTAGGACGGGGGGCCAGATGTCAGAGGGCCTGGGAGGAGTTGGGGATGGGGGGAGCGGGGAACGATAGCATGAGAGCCCCGAGGGGCAGGAGGGGCAGTCTCAAGAATGGGGCCCTCAGGACCTCAGTGGGGGACCACGAGGTGGGGCTAGGCAGCGGCGCCCTCACCGAGCCTGTCTCCCCCAGCCCCATCCAGGCTATGGGCATCAAGACGGCGTTGCCTGCGGCAGAGCTGGGCCTGTACTCCTTGGTGCTGAGTGGGGCCCTGGCCTATGCTGGCCGGGGCCTCCTCGAAGCTTCGCAAGGTAACAGTTGGGCTCTGGGCAGTGGGGTGGGGCCCTTCTCCTGGGGGCCTCCCAGTTCATACCAGCAGGGCCAGAAACTCAGAGGCTCCAGACCCAGGGTATTCCTTCAGCCCTGGGGGCTAGGCTGAGCCAGGTACGGTCACAGGGAGACACAGACGCACAGGCACTGACAGAGACCAGACGCAAAGCCACACAGAGAGGGAGAAACCCAGATGCTTGGGGAGAAATGGCCCCAGACACACGGTGAGGCCCAGAGAGAAGCAGAGGCAGAGAGGAACCCAGACCCGGCCCCCTCCCCCCGGGTGCATCCCCCCCACGCAGGGGCCGGCATGGGGGAGCGGGTGAGGGGTCTCCTCTCCCTGAGGCCACACTCTGTTCTCAGATGGGGCCCACAGGAAGGCCTTCCGGGAGTCCATGAGACCCGGCTGGGAATACATTGGTCGGAAGATGGTAGGTCCTCCCAGGGTCCCTGAGTGGCGTCCCTGACCCCTGGCACATCTCTCTGATCCCGAACCTTTCCTGACTCCCCCCATTCCAGATGTTCCCACGTAACAGAGGCCTCACAATGGGGCCTCTGGCTTGAGATTCAGCACCTCCAGTTTCTCCGCTGGCCCCTCCTATGTCCTCTTGGGGCCACATCAAGTCCCCCCATCCCAGACCCTGCTCATTTAATAAATTGAGCCGTGCCTTAGCAGGGGCCTCCAGCACCACCCCTCCCGGGAACAGCACACCCATGGTGGGTGTTAGGCGGTGGAGGGGGAGCTCCGAGGGGCGGGGCAGCCCTCACGCTGGTACTTCCCATCCCCTAGCCGGTACTTCCCAGGTACTCCCCTCCAGCATGGCTCTCCTCTAGTGCACAAGAAGGATGTGGGGGCTGGGATGGTGCGGGGACTCCGACCCACTAGGTGGCAGCACATCCTGCCCCCCGCCCCACCTTAACCTGCCGGGGCCTGCCCCAGGACGTGGCCGACTTCGAGTGGGTGATGTGGTTCACCTCCTTCCGCGATGTCATCATCTTCGCCCTCTCCGGACATGTGCTGTTTGCTAAACTCTGCACGATGGTTGCCCCCCAGGTAAGCACGACCTGAGCCACCCCAGCCTCCCCCCACCAGCTCCGTCTCAGCGACAGGGGTTGTGGGGACTCCGTGCTGGGGCCCCACCTCCGTGTGTGTGGACAGGTAAACGAAGCCTTCTCGCTGTCCACAGCTCCGCTCCTGGATGTACGCCGCCTACGGGGCCTTGGCTGTGCTGGGCACGATGGGCCCTCGGTACCTGCTGCTGCTACTCAGCCACTGTGTCGGCCTCTATGTGGCTTCACTCTCGGGTCAGCCTTGGCTCTGTCTTGGCCTAGGCATGGCCAGCCTCGCCTCCTTCAAGCTGGACCCCCTAATCTCCTGGCAGGTGAGAACTGGGGAGGGGCAAGGGTGGAGGGTGCAGGGGTAGGACCCCAAACCTCTCACCCCATCCAAAACCCAGCTGTCTCCACGCCTTTGACCATGGAGCATCCCTCACCTACACGGTGGTCAGCAGGGATGCGTGCGGCTTGGTCTCGGCTCTGTCCCGGCACTTACCCTGAGTCAGCCCTGAACGGCCCATGTTGACTGGCTCTGGGAGAGAAGAAGGGGCAGAACCGGGCAGGGCCCCTGTGGGAAGCTGGGTGGGCTTCCCGGAGACCAGGGGCGCCTGGTGAGCTGGCGGCCTGCTCTCTCCCATCCAGAACGGGTTTGTAACAGGCACTTTTGATCTTCAAGAGGTGCTGTTTCACGGGGGCAGCGGTTTCACGGTGCTGCGTTGCACCAGCTTTGCGCTGGAGAGCTGTGCCCACCCGGATCGCCGCTACTCCCTAGCCGACCTGCTCAAGTACAACTTCTACCTGCCTTTCTTCTTCTTCGGGCCCATCATGACCTTTGATCGCTTCCACAGCCAGGTGAGGGGACGCCCCGGGGGCTCCCAGAGCAGGGCTGGCTCTCCCTCTTTGGACAGGGACTTCCCAGGGCGGGCTGTGTCCCCATCCTCAGGCTCGACTCCAGGACGAAGCCACGACTCCCCTTCCTCAGACCCCCGGACTGGGCCACATTTCCCCACTCAGACAGGGATCGCGGGATGGAGATGTGTCTCCTCCCTCAGACAGGACTCTCCTCCTGCTTAAATGGGATTCCCAAGTGAGGCCTGGGTCTCCCTGGCAGGCTGTGAACCCTCCGGAGTGGCCTGTGTTTCCAGCCTCAGGCAGGGCTGTCAGGATGGAGCCAAGATTTCCCCCGCCCTCACACCCCCAGGCCGTTGGTGACAGGGATCGCGGGATGGAGATGTGTCTCCTCCCTCAGACAGGACTCTCCTCCTGCTTAAATGGGATTCCCAAGTGAGGCCTGGGTCTCCCTGGCAGGCTGTGAACCCTCCGGAGTGGCCTGTGTTTCCAGCCTCAGGCAGGGCTGTCAGGATGGAGCCAAGATTTCCCCCGCCCTCACACCCCCAGGCCGTCGGCGACTCCCCATTCAGACAGAGCCCCTCTGGCAGGGCTTGCCTCCTCAGACGTTTGGCATCCCCAGGTGAGCCAGGTGGAGCCGGTGAGGCGTGAGGGTGAGCTGTGGCACATTCGGGCCCAGGCGGGCCTCAGCGTGGTGGCCATCATGGCGGTGGACATCTTCTTCCACTTCTTCTACATCCTCACCATCCCCAGTGACCTCAAGTTTGCCAGCCGCCTCCCAGACAGCGCCCTCGGTGGGTGTGCGGGGTCTAAAACAGAGATGGGGGCTGGGCCGCCACCCCAGAAAGACAAACCCTCTGTTTCCTTAAGGCCTCAAGGCTGGCGGAGCTGACACCCCGAGAGGGTACAGCACCTATCCCGGGGTGGAGAGGCTGGGGGGTAGGGAGGAGGGTTTAGTTTTTGAAATGGTGGGACTTGTTAGCTTTGTATCAGACGGAGTCCTCCTCATTTCACTGGGGCGATGGCTGATTTCCATGACCCCATGGCATCTCCCTAGAGCAACCGGGGCCCAGGAAGTGGGCGGTGGGATCTCCGTGGGGGTGGTCCCGCTGCAAGGACCTGCTCCCGGACTTGGGGAGATTGTGTCGGAAGGGGAGGGCTGGGCTCAGTGCCTCGCCAGGATTTGCGTGCCGGGGGAGGGGAGGCCAGAGCAATACGCCCCCCGGGCAGTGACGATGTGCTGTCCCCAGCGGGCCTGGCCTACTCAAACCTGGTGTACGACTGGGTGAAGGCAGCGGTCCTCTTCGGCGTCGTCAACACCGTGGCGCGCCTCGACCACCTGGACCCACCCCAGCCTCCCAAGTGCATCACGGCTCTCTACGTGTTCGCAGACACGTGAGTGGGGCGGGGCGAGCGTCGGGGGGGACACGCCCCTGGGGTCCCCACCTCCCTTCGGCCTCTCGGCGCATGGCCCCGGGAGCCCCGTTCCCGTCTGATTCGCACCTCTGCCCGCCTCCCACAGGCACTTTGATCGCGGCATCAACGACTGGCTTTGCAAGTGAGTTGGGGTGCGGTGGGGAGATGCTCACAGCCATCTTGCCAGGGGTCTGAGCGGGGCAGTGCAGAGATCGGTCCACGTTTTAAAAAGATGGCCGCTGGGCCAGAGGAAGCAAGGAGGGCAGTGAGGAGGTCGTTGTGGAGGTCTAGGTGAAAGACACAGAAGTTTGAACTTGAGTGGAGCCTTAGAAGTGAGAGAAATGGTTGGAGTAGAGACACACAGCAGGTAGCCCGACAAGACTTGGCCACGAATTGGGGTCTCAGGAAGGAGAGGGTGATGACTTCCAGATTCCTATGGACAGCCTGGGGAAGGGTGGAGGGGCGGTGTCCAGAAAGGAGTTTCATGTGAGAAATGTCTGCTTGGAATCTGGGAGACATCACTGTGGAGGTTCGGGGAGGTGGTTGGGTCAGGGGTCCAGAGAAGTCTGGAGGACTGGTGGGGCTCTGCGCATCATGGGTGCGGGGCGGGGGGCCCTTTAAGCCTTCGGAAAGGAGAGAACGTAGAGTAAGAAGGGAAGGGAGATTGGGCCTGGGAGAACTCTGCTTCCGGGGAGAAGTAAGAGCCAGCAGGAAGGACCGAGGGGAGTGGCCGCAGGAGCAGGGAGAAAGTCAAGGCCCTGTGACACCCTGGAACGAAGAGGAGACCGTCCAGGCACGGTGGGGGCCCCTGGGTCAGACGCTGCTGGGGTCAAGGAAGCTAGAGACGGCGTTCGCGTTGGCGGCATGGAGGGTGTTCAGCCTTTCGCCGGAGAGGCAGAGGCAGGTGAGCAGCGAGAGGAAACTGAGGGATTACAGGGGACTGAATCCCTGTGGGGACAGCTCCTGGAAGGAGCCTGGCGCTGAGGGGGAAGACAGAGGACTGGCTCGAGGAAGGAGCGGGGCGTTCCACAGACAGGAAGTAGTGGCACATGCTTGGGCGCTGGGAGCAGTTATTCCAGAGAGAAGAAGAAGCTGGTGATGCTGGAGAGAGGGGTGATGGATGGAGTGAGGTCCCTGAAGAGGGAGGAGATGACTTCAGGACAGGGAGGAGGAAGAGAAGCCAGTGTGAGGCGGAAGGGTGGCTGGCAGGTTAACGCGGAACGGTGAGGGGTTCCACCTGAGGGCTTCGCTTTTCTCCATGAAGTAGGAGGCAAGGTCATCAGCTGAGAGAGGCAGGGTTGGGGTCATGGAAGGAGATAGTATCTGTGTGTCCTCCCCACTCCTGCCCAGGTCCCCCCACACCCACTTATACTTGGCAAGGGGAGATAAGGGTGGAGTGGTCACTACAGACCCTGGGAGAGAAACTTGAGCATCGAGAGCCCAGGTGGGGTCAGAGATAGTGGATTCATTGACTCTAATATGTGAAAGTGTGAGATTTTCCCCAGCAGCACTTAGCTTCTGAGGTGCAGGTGAGCAGAAAGTGAGAGACTGGGCTCTCCCAGATGCGTGAGAAGGAAGGGGTGGGGAATAAGGGGTTTGGGGTTATTCATAACGGTGACTCACTGCTAAGGAGGGTGGTGAAGATAGTAAAGAGGAGGGGTCACAAGATGAGGAAGGGCAGGTGTCGAAACTGGAGAACTGAAGCTGGGGGGCCAGGTCAGGAGGGGCTGGGGGGAGAATGGTAACTAGGAATGAGTGAAATTTCAAGTGGTGACAAAGTTGGGGTGTAGCCACGGGAGAGGGCGGCTGAGGCAGAGTGGAGAAGAGACCATTGGAAATGAGGAGGTCAAGGGTCTTCGCCTGAATTTATTTAACAAATATTTATTAAGCACCTACTATGTGCCAGGCACTGTTCTAGGCACTGGGGATACAGCCGTGAACATGGCAAAGACCCTGAACTCATGGAGCTTACAGTCTAGTGGGGAGAAACAGACCATAAACAGGTAAACGAACACATAAATAATTTCAGAGAGCGGTAAGCATTATGGAAAAAAAAAAAATAAGAAAACGGTGTAATTGGATGGAAGCTGCCCACGGGATAGGAGCTTTTTCAGTGGAGATCTGCACAGGCCTGTGGGATGACATTTGAGCTGAGACTTGATCAATAAGGGACTCTGGGGAAGGAAATTGGAGGCAGAGGGAACAAGCACAAAGGCCTCGAGGCAGAAACCAGCTCTGCGTGTGCGACAGACAGAGGCCAGTAAGGCCAGAACAGGGTGAATGCGAGCGAGCGAGCGGGCGGGCGGGCGGCGAGGTCAGGGAGGCAGACAGACACCAGACAACGTGGGGTCTTCCAGCCACAGCAGGAAGTTGTGTTTATTCGCACTGTAATGCGAAGCGACTGGGGGAGGGTTTGGTCGTGGAAGTGACACTCGTAAAGGATGCCTCTAGCTGCGGCGTGGAGAACAGATGGCAGGGGCGAGGGCAGAAGCAGGGAGCCAATTTAGGAGACTTGCAGTAATCGGTGTGAGAAGAGAAGGTTGCCTGGACTAGGGTGGTGGTGGTGGCCGTGGAAGGCGGTGGAGTGGCCAGGACTGCGTGGAGCCCATTGGATTTGCCGGCTCGGATGTGGGTGGAGAAGGAAAACGAGAGTCCCAGATGGCGCTAAGGCTTCCGGCCTACAACTGAGCGGATGGCGGTGCCATTAACTGACGTGGGGATGAAGCGGCTTTGGGCAGAGATGGGGGAATCAGTCATTCAGGTGAGATGTCTGGAGACAAGTGGCTATAGGAGTCGGGAGGAGACTGGGCTAAAGACACAGATGGGGGGCTCGCCAGCAGAGAGACAGCTTTCAGCCTTGGGTCTGCATGAGATCATCTGGGGACTGACTGAACCTAGCTAGAGAAGGTACAGAGTTCTAGGCTGAGCCCTCCACATTTTGAAGTTGGAAAGAAGAACAGCCCCCAGAGGTCAGGAATGTCGAATGTGCCAAGCGACAGCACTGAGGAAGGCTGTCCCTGCCACGTGTCCTTGGCCCACCCCCTGCCCGCTTTCTCCCACACGGCCCCCTCTCTTCTCCCGCCTTTCCCACAGGTATGTGTATGACCATATCGGTGGGGAGCACTCTGCGGTGATCCCAGAGCTGGTGGCCACAGTGGCCACGTTTGCCATCACCACTCTGTGGCTCGGGCCTTGTGATATTGTCTACCTGTGGTCAATCCTTAACTGCTTTGGCCTCAACTTTGAGCTCTGGGTACAGAAGCTGGCAGAGTGGGGGCCCCTGGCACGAATTGAGGTGAGCACGGAAGGTCTGGGGCCAGAGGTGGCTGGGTCACTGGAGGGGGTGGCGCTGCTGCTCTGTGGAGGCTTCCAGCCGCACTGAGCCCCCAGTCCCGAACTTTCTCACCACCGTCCTCCTGGTTGCCAGGACAATGGCTTACCCTGTGGGTACCTGGTCCCCGCTGCCTTCTGTGGGGTGTGGGGCATCCAGGCTTCCCCGTGTTGGTCGGGCCCTGCCCTCTCTCCAGTTTCCCATCTTTAGCCCTGAGGGAGCGCTGACCTGGGACTCTCAGAGACAGGCACACCCCCAGGACCTCTGACCACCCATGTCCTCTTTGCCCTGGACCTCTGCCGCACTGCCCATGCTTTCCTGACCCGGGCAGGCCTCGCTGTCGGAGCAGATGTCTCGCAGGGTCCGAGCCATCTTTGGGGCCATGAACTTCTGGGCTATCATCATGTACAACCTTGTAAGCCTGAACAGCCTTGAGTTCACAGAGCTGGTTGCCCGGCGCCTGCTACTCACAGGTGAGGGACAGAAGGGGAGGAGGGGAGGATACAGAACGTGCCAGGAGTTCACTTTGAGGACTGTGACCTTCTGAAATGCCTCCACCCCACCCCATTCCCCAGTGACTCAGCAGGAGGGGCCAGTCAGATGGGGAAAGGCATGGGGAAGAGAACAGTGGCCAAGGTGAGTGTCGCTCCCAGGCATCGATGACCTCCTCTCTGTAGGGTTCCCCCAGACCACCCTGGCCATCCTGTTTGTCACCTACTGTGGCGTCCAGCTGGTGAAGGAGCGAGAGCGAACCCTGGCGCTGGAGGAGGAACAGGAGCAGGACAAAGAAAAGCCGGAGTAGGTGGGAGGGGGAGGAGGGACGGGCTCTGCTCAGCTCTTCCTGGGCCCCGGCCCAGGCCAGACCACATGGGGCCCGACCGAGAGAATAAAAGATTTTTCTACCACAGTGCGGCTGCTCCCTGCCCTCTCCCCCAGCAGTCTCCTGGCTCCTCGTCCGTGCTGGATGAGGAGCTGGGGGTTCCGGGCCTCGGGGAGAGGGTCAAGCTCTTGGCGCACAGAGTGTGGAGGGGACACCTACATTAGGGCAGAAAACACTAACCTCCTGGGTGACCCGACAGCTGAACACTGAAGCCCTGACTCTTCAAACTAGCTAGTCACTGACTCTTGGGGCTCCCGATTCCAGACCCTGAGCTGCTTGCTTAGAAGGCACTTTATTCTTCTTATGGAAGGAGACTTATCTATGCTTCAGGGTACACTTGATGGGGACACTTTCCATCTGACAGGCAAGGAGTAAGTCCTGTGGGAAGTTTACCAGTACACACAGCCAGGCGGGGGCTGGGCCAGGATGCAGCCTGGGACATCTCCCTGTGGTTCCGGCTCATGGACCAAGAACAGGGGGATATGGAGACACCGGAGAGGCCTAAAGGTCTTCGTCCCTGCCCCTAAGGCTAGGACGAGGCAGCTATTACCTTCCCTGGCTGAAGCAGCCATGCGGGCACCACGACAGATCCAGGTGGACTCTGGCCTCTCCCAGCCTCCTCCCTGGAGCCCCAGGAAGGCGCAGCCTGTGCGGGCCACAGGTTTGGGAGGGATGCTTAGTTCAGACCCTCTGGGCTGGTCACATCTTGGTCAGGCGCAGCACGTTGAGCCGCACAGGTAGGAAGGTAGCGCCTGTGGCATAGGCAATCTCCCGCAGCACGCCCTCCCACTTCTTCTCATCCTCATTGTATCTGGGGGCGGGAGCGACAAGGAGCTTGTGTGGGACCCAGCAGGAAGGAGTATCTGGGCACACTAGGCCCACCCCTGAGAAGTGCTCCCTCACCCCAGCCACACCCCATCTCTAGGAAGATCTGCCCCTGGAGAATTCCTCTGCTCTGGGAAAGGGAGCCCCCCACAAGGCCCACCCCCAG